TACAAGTCATCTATTAATAATTTCCCGGCGAGAAATCTCGTGAAGTGATGTGACATGTTTTGAATACTCGCGCATTAATCATGATCACCCAAATAACATTTAAGTGCATGTATGACATATGTGCCATTAACATGCTGGACCTGCATTGACAATGATCACACTCACAGCCAAACCAAATTACTATTTTTTTTGTCATGAGTCTCAGACAGGTTCCTGCATGTTTGTCTAAATCCGCAACAAATCCAACACCTGCTTTTGCGGTATTTTGATGAATTCAAGAGCCAAACTGCTTTTGCCGAACTACTAGCACAGAGCCCGAGGTATCAATTTTCTGAGGAAAATTACCTCTGCTTTTGATTTTCCACAAAGTCTAGGATTTGGGCAGAGTAGTGAGATTACCAAGGAAAGGTAGTACGGGTAGTTAAGGTTACATGTAAAGTACATGTAATTCTTGTATCGTTATTCGTTGGACTTTTTTCTACCTAGGTAACGGTATCTCAAGTAACAGCTCATAATTGCAGAAACAAACACAATGGTTTTGTCTCATCTCTAATATTAATTGCAGACAAATACATGTACATGTACATGTACATAGTTTTGGCCCAAGACGGAAGTAATCGATAGTGACTGTTGTGGAGCATTGACAGTGATTGTTGTAGAGCGCCCTCGCACAACTGTTTTTGACAATACAATTTTCTCTCACTAACGTCTTGGGAATATCTCAGCCATGGGGGCGTTGCTGTTTTATGTAAACTAGACCGTTGGTGTAAATATTAATACATGTACCTTGGAACAACATGGCGGCTTCACGCATCCAACTACTCATTCTATAGTCGCATGGGGTGTATTGCTACGTTGCATATCTGAATATATGCGATGCTTGATCGTCAAACTTCACAGTTGAATTTTGCGTGCATATTCATATGATGCCCGTATGTTAACAACTGCTGCATGACGACCATAAACTGCCTGAAAAAAGCTTAGCGTTCAGAGACCATCAGCATTGGACGTTCGTCATCGCGCGATGGACTATAAACCAGTCTTAATGATCTTGTTGCGATCGCTGATTGGTTCCCTAGGAAAGCCTAGGGAGAAAATAAAGCAAAAGTTTAACTGCCACTACCGAATTTCCAAGACGCTATTGAGAGCAGGCAAGCTGGTCTAACCATGCCGTTAGATGGCGCACTACTTCCAACTGAATGTGAAACGAATTTACGCGACAGTGCACGATGCACTATCGATCACTAGCGTCTTGGCCAAAGACTAACAAATGCACAGCCATTTGTAAATGAAAGCAAATCAATGACTACATGTAGGTGGATATACGTACGTAGCCCAGAAGCCAGCACAAGGGTCCACCAATATCTTATTTAATAATGTTTGTACTTAAAGGTAATGCTAATCTTGTAATTTTCAAAAATGGATGGATTTGGGGGCTGGTATTTTATAGCCAATAAATGTATTTGTTACACTGACCTGTTTAAAGTTTTGTATTCATAGATGCTGGAAAACCAAGAAAAAAATGCAGTTCTTGTACATGTACATGTAGTATGCTTCCTTGACCCTACTTCAGACTAACTTCGGTGCAATTTTATAAATGTCAGGGAATTGTCAGGTCAGGGAACCACACTAGCTGGCTTGTACCCGTTCACGGATGCATAACGGATTGCGAACAAAATGTGGACTAACTAAATTTGGTAAATTGAGGGCAGTGTTGGAAAAAAAAGGCTTTTTTTTTTCCAACGATGGTCGGCCAACCATTGTTGGAAATTGATACAAAATTCCACTTTTCTTAAAAATGACGGGGGAAAAAGTGCCATGATTTCATAAATAACATATATTTTATGAAGCATGTTATTGCTTTAGGATACATGTACCGTGGTATCTGGAATATTGTCCCTAATGTACTAATTAATTAACTTTAATTTCTATTTGCAATAAAACAAATAGAAATTCAGAAATCAGACTTGTTCATTGACAGAGTTAATGTTTTTGTCTAGTTTTGTTTGTCTTCTTTACAAATGGGCCAGATATGATCTATCAAGCTCATGCCAACATTCAGAATTCCAACACACGGTCCGCGTGAAAATCCCGACTCTCGTAAAGCAGTCCACATTTTTTCACCCTCGAATGTTGTAAATCAATGTTCTCTGCACTAGGAATCATTAGGTAGAGTGCACTGGGAATCGTTAGGTAGAGAAATACAAAAGCTTTCTGACGAAGCTTGCATCTTGGAAAAGCTCAGGCCGAAATGACTTGAAATGTATCCATGTTGCGCATCACAATTTGTGACTGTATGCACTGGCGATAACAACTGTGTGTAATAAAAGCTGTGCTGTCAGGGGGGCAGAGGAGTGAACTCTAAAATAATGTGGCGAGTCTCGCAAATTTCTTTCAGGAAAATGGAGAGGAGACTTTGTGTTCAGAGTGGAGGAATGAAGACCAAAGATGCTCTCATTTGCTCGCGAAGTGAAATGGACAAAAACAAGGTACATTGTTGTACAACTAAGCAACAACCAACAAACTCCTCAGCATGAAGTAAAACACTGCTATAACGAACAAAAACATTTGGCTATAACGAACACCCCCTTTGGCTCCTGAAATAGTAAATGTTATTATAATACTATGCGAACGACCACTACATTGTACATGTATACAAAAAAATTGATGTTCGTTAAACTTCGTTTATGTTTTTATGTTTTTTGTGTTTTACTGTACGTAACTATTTGATTCTTGGTTTCTAATTCTTTTAGAACCCTACTTTTTAAATACATTTACTGTACAAACAGTTGTCTTTTATTGTAAACCATGTTCAACTCGGTTGTTGGTTGTGAGTCATAAATGTTTTTATATTTAAACAGATTTGAACTGAATCGGATGAAATGCTTATTTTTTTTTAATTACAGAGTACCAGTTTACCACTTGCACCATAATGTCACAGAGCAATATTTTTTTATATCCACCCCTGGTTGACAGTAAATCATATTCTGTGTACAGCCTGGTGTGTTTCGCATCAGGCCCTGCGACTATACAAAATATGACATATTTATTCTCGGGGCCAGAGTGACACATCACAGATGCGATGACTGGAGGGGGGCCACCGGAAAAACATAAGTGAGAAAATAAACACCCGTTGGAGAAGATCAAAGTGGCAGATAGCCCACAAAAAAAGTGTTAACTGTAGACATTTATGCATCGTTGAAGCAATTTTGGTTGACAAGGTTAAGATCTTAGCATTTTGTTTGACTTTCCACTTTCCGTACATCATGTGCATTTACAATCTTGAGGATGTGTTACATTTAGGCAATCTATGGGCAATCAGTTCCAAGAAATCACCAGGAGCGTCTGGGAAAATTCTTTATTCCCAGGTGAGATGTTCCGAGGAATTTCTATAGATTGCTGGAAAAATACACTTTGTTTTTTCCCAAGGGTTTGCTTAGGTTGAGGATGCCCTCTAGCAGAAAATATAAAACAAAACCTTAATGTGAGTGGGGTGACCTGCCATTTTCCATTGTGCACCCATTCACAGATGGGTCATTCTTTAAATGAAGGGTCCAAAGTGTGACATTTTTCCTGTCCCTGTTACCTTGGTACTTTGTAATTTGCCATTCAAGTATCATTAAGAATGACTTCAAACAATTTTTTATTTGTTGGGTAGGACATGTTCAGTGTACGTAGATTGCTATTCATAATCACTCTTGGAGGACGACTGCATTAAGGAGCGCATCAGAAAATTTATATAAAATCATAGACACCAGATGTAACAGGGACAGGTAAAAAGTGGACCCTAAATCTGAGAATGACCCAGATGCATTCATAAAAAATACTGTCCACTACATGGCAAACTCACATGTACCGGTACTGAAGTAGTGACTTAATTAAAAGTGGGTCAAGCACACTCGACAGTGCTCGTGCACTACATGTAGTTTAAACACAACAGAGTCAATGTGGTACATATTCATAAGCTTTTCCTGAGTGTGAACTAAACAACAACCTGAAAAGTTCCCTCAGGAATGCTTACAATCAACTACATGTAGACATGTACATGTACATACATGTACATGTACATATACTTCATGTACATGTACTACATGTACATGTACTACATGTACATGTACATGTAGATTCATTTTTTTGACATGTATGGTATGGTAGTTAACCATTCGCATAATGAATATAACATGGAGTCAATTTCGCTGTATTTATAAATCAGTCAATATCCAATCACCAGGTTAAATAGACAGATTAAGGCCACATGTACATGTAACATCCCCCTCCCTGGCCTCCTTCCCCTCCCTCCCCGCCCCCCCAATTGTTTTCAGAAATTCAATAAACATTTCAAAATGACACATTTTCCTAACACTAAGATAGAGATATATCCCAAACCAAACAAACAGCAGGTCATAATTACTGGGTTTGTTATTTGTAACAACGTTTTGCACTTCATGGTGTACAAGCTGTAGAAGAAATAAAATAAACAAACTTTAACTCTCCACATAAACACACAAACCATCAAAACAATTATTTTGCATCATGTGTATTACATTCAGAACTGAACACTATTAGTATTACAGGATGAAAATGATGAATTCTCCACAGATGTTTGGAGAATATTTCACATATTTTCTTTTCAAAGTTTCAAAGGTTTATGCACGTTTTTTTTTTTTGAATTCCCAGGAGTTAGTAAAATGGCTTTTGAATAGGATATATAAAAAACAGTTCAAAGAATTCTTTTTGCAAAACTTTGTCAGCATATTAAAACAACATGTTTTACGTCGGAAAACATGCACAAATTAATATTACATTGTATTGCAGACAAATTATCGAACAGTTGAGTTAAAAACTGAATAAAAACCTACAAAATGCAACTTGTTCTGATGTACATGCACATCCGAAGCAAAACTGACGGGTTTACGCTTAGAAAAAGATCTACATTTCTTGAAATGAATTTCAACATTTTATTTCGCCCCCGAACCCAAGTTCAAAAACTTCATATTTACCACTACCTGGTACAAAAAAAAATGAAGATGAAGTCTTCCTTTCTCCCTTGCGGGTGAAACTCAGGTGATCGCTCCTTCCACGCATCTTGGCCGAAACCCAATCCACTAATCAAACTCGATAAGAGATCCTCCAAGAAATTCTCAAGACATGGAGTTATATAGTTCCGAGACGGGAGGTGTTACCACGAGAAATGAAATTGCGGGATAGATGTCATATTTTCGGGAGACAGTCACAAATTTGTGGATGAGATGGCTTGTTTGTGGCCATGTATCTTTCTGCTTGGATGTGAAGATGCGGTCGTCGTCGTGGCTATAATGTGCATCACCAGTGTCTGCCAGACTCCAGCTTTTCTACCAATTAGATTAGGTGGAGAGTTGGTTTCAGACTGTACCATTACGGCGGGGGAGGAGTGTTGGGAAGTGGTAGGCATAACCCATTGTGATCAAATCGGACCAACTTCGTCGAGTATGATTTCTTTAACGCCTGTGGAATCCCGTGGTCATGAACTTGAAGGTAATATAAGACAGTTGGCCGGGGTTTAACTGGAGTCAAATCGCGGTGGCGATGACATATGGCGAGGGGTCTGAAAACCATTCCCACCCACCCACCCAAAGAATAGACCAGTTCTATATGTTTACAATGTTGCCTCTCAAGACCGACTGTATTACTTTATCATGGGGTTTTACATCTGTCTTGCTATAATTTGTGCCTCAAGCTGTTCAGTCTTTGAGACTCCATTACACTCACGACAAGGTTCATAACCTTTACAGTTCTCTTATTTTTTCAATTAGTGAAAGGAAAGGTGATACACTGATTTGAACTTTTGAAGGCTGAAAGGAGGGGGGGGGGAGGATGGTGAACACCAAAAGAATTACATCAAAATTTTAAAACTAAAGAAAAATGAAACAAAATCTGTCAGATTCAAAACCAGACCTACTTGATTTCTATACGCGGGATGGATAGAGAATAGCATTTGGTGATGTGACTTATTAATTGACTCTCTCTCGAGCTGTCACAACCTGATTGAACTGCAAATTTACCGAAGATAACACATTCTGCAAACCATAGGAGTGAGAAGCTTTAAAGTAAAGCATCTGTTTAGTTCCAAAATTGTTATTATCATTGCTATTTCTCCCGCATAATTTCGGTCCATTTTTGTGGGCAATTCACAACGCGTAAATTGAATCAAATACCAAATTGGGAAGCTATTAAGTGAATTGTTAGCACGGATGGTTGCCATCTTCAAAATCTTGAATAGATTACGCTTTTGAAGTGAAGCTGCTTTTTTTTTTTCGTCAGAGCTTTATCGGATTGGAATGCGGTGCTTTGGACTGCCCCCCTCACCCCCAATGAGACAGGAATTTGGACAACGTAAGCTGAAGGGTGACCTTAAAGAAATGGCTTACAGAGAATTTCTGGCGAGGTAATTTGTTGCTAATTTTAAAGGAACCCCAAGAAACCAGCCTTATATTTTGAAGTCACTCGTAGTCACAGTTACTTCATATTATTTATGTTGATATGGTAAAGTTCAAGTTTGAGTGTTTACATTGTACACCTTCAAAATTTAGAAGATTTTTTTTTTAAATAAAGGGGTCACTGACTATATTCATCAGGCTATTCATAAGATGGAATTTGAGATGAAGGCTATAATTTTAATCAAACTGCCTCATATTGTAATATAAGAAACTCAATTTAGAATTCTATCTTTTTTGAAATGCTTACAAAGGTGAATTTAATAATTTTCTTCTAGTCAAAATCCAAGCATTAGTCGTAAAGGTTAGGAGTTCAGTTTTTGTTCTGGAAAGAGAAACAGTAATTTTTCATTCGAGCTTGTCAATGGGGCCTCTGGTGGGTATGGGGTAGACAGGGCAAGTGGTCCCAAATTTGGCAACCCGGTTGCTTAGCTACTTGGGAGGGGGTGGTTTCTAATTGACAACTGTTTCTGTACCCCCACAGATGCTGTTTAAGCATCGATCATGTTTAAATTCCTCTCATACGTTAGTTTGGTTTCTCTAGTAGGAGCATCTGTCTGGCCTGCGTCCCGTCTCATCTCGGCTTGGTACGCTGTGAAGTAACCCTTGGGATAATTCTCTCAGGAACTGCTCTGTGTGTCTACGTGGGGGGGGGGGGGGGGGGGGGGGGGGGGGGGGGGTCACGGGTGTTAGATAGGAAAGTTCAAGAAACTTTCCCTCTCTGCATATACATGTATATTACACTCTGATATACTCATGGCGATGACATGTCACGTTTCTACACATCTAATCATTCGCAATCATTTGGTGCTCCCTTTAAGCTTAATTTGAATATTGGTCACATGGGTACTTTGTGGAAGGAAAAACGGGAGGTTGAACTTCATTTACGTGAGTCACTGAATCAATCACGATTTGAACTTCAGTTTTTAAACATTTTGATATATTTGTGATACTGACTTGAGTGCACAAAATTCTATCAAATCTGCCAATGTTTTGGATATTCACATGGGCAATGTGCCAAAATTATTGACATCATTTCTGTAAGAATGGACCAAGTTCTGAATAGCAGAGAAGAATCTTTTGAAGCAGTTGAGTTAAACAATCCTTCTCCTTCTTCACTTTTAACGAAAAAATTAAAGCAAAAATGTACTGATCGTCAAAAGAGTGGAATTTTCCAAGAAATAACGGAAACATTTTCAAGTAAAAATTCAGCCACCTCTAGCAAAATTGAAAGAACACAGGCCAACCAGCATACTCAAATGCTTATCTGACCACGATCTGACAGCCAGCGTGAGCAACCACTCAAGTAAAATGCAAGTAACTCCACTCCACCTCCCAATAACCTGCATGTTTTGACAGAAAGTCAAGCCCCCATTAATGCCAAATTGACTGCTAATAGGAACCGATGGAATGTTAATCAGGTTTGTAGACTAAATATGTTTGCTTTGTAAATTCCAAGATTGCCATAGTGTATCAAGTGCTGTCACAATATTTTGCTCTATCAGACTGTGAAGGCCACTGTTGGCAAGGGCGCCCTCTGTTGACAAGATTAAGAAAGCTTGGGCTAAGGAGTGTTTGGAATGAGATGTACAATTCATCTCTGTTGACAAGATTAAGAAAGCTTGGGCTAAGAAGTGTTTGGAATGAGATGTACAATTCATCTCTTGACGGGACCAAAATGAGACTTCTGACAGGCTGTGAAATGTTTTTCTAAAGTGACCTTTTTGGAAAACCTGATTTAATTAAAAAAAAAAAAAAAAAAAAAAAAATCATTTCTGATTGTTTTTTATGAACATAAAAAGAAATCAAAATAGATTTATATTTTATAAAGAAAGGTACCCAATTCAGGGCAATTAATTAATGAAATAGAAGAATAAATGCAAAGACATTAATGTTAAAATGACTTCAATTCTCCTCACTGCTCGGAGGGTCTTTCCTCTTCCCTGGGAGAACAGTTCATTGAAAACTGACAGGGAAAACCGTGATAAAATAATACGAAATAAACATTTTTTTTGGAATGGAGAAGGTTTTTTGCCATTTGCAAATTTTGCCAGCAATATTTTGTAAAGACTGCCTTTTCCATTCAAATGCCCTTTTTTCAACGGGCTTACCACCCCCCCCCAATAATTTGTAAAGAGTGCCCTTTTGTTACGAAGTGCCCTTTTTTCTGAACAAGTGCTCTTTTTTGTGGCATCTTCCGTTTTGGGTGCCTTTTTCAGAATTTTGCACATGTATCGCCTGGCCCTTTGTGTGCATAATTGTCGGTTTTGGAACAAGCCCCCCCCCCTTTTTTTATTTTACGGAGGCCAAGTGTCCGGAGAAAAAAAAACCTGTCTACATTTCACAACGGATGTGCAAGTGCCCTTTTCAAAAAAATGTACCCCCCACCTCCCAATAAAAATGACCGTGCTACGCCCCTGCGCAAGAAAATAAATCACCCAAACTGGACTGCAATTTTAATTGCAGTACAGTATGGACTTTGTACCAAGTTACATTTCCATTTGTTGCAAATTTGAACACTGTTTACAATTCCCTGTTTGAAAAGTCTCCGGTTTTCATCGAAACAAAAACTACACAGGACTTTCTTTCACATACACCACTGTACATGTAAGCCTAAATGTATTGCACTTTACTTTGCGAAAAAAAAAAAATAGTGGAGTCTTTCACACAATCACTATAATATCCTACATGTAGCTTCTCTCCACACACCGCAGTCGATAGGTGTATACTGAAAAAAAATCAAATGACGTGATTGAAAACTGAGATGCAGCAACGCTCTTGATAGTCAATACTGCAAAGCTGCTCTCTCTCGCCGTCTCGGCATTATTGTCCAGGCCTGCACTTAGCGCGACTATATCGCGGATCAAGAAAAACCAAAAAAAACACCGAGCTTATCGGGAAACATGTATCAAATATCTCAGCTTTTATAACACTCGTGACAGATGTACACGTAAATCTTGGACGAGTCTGCATCGAAAAAAAAAGGGCTTCTTTTGATTTTGTTGTGTTGAGATGATTTGATCTTGTCAGTAATTCTAGATGATGTATTGATTTCGGGAGGGGGGGGGGGTTGCGTGTGGATCCATTTTCAGTTCATAATGCCAAAAAAGATACAATCGATTAGTTTTTTATTACCTTACAGTGTGATTTGCTGATTGTATTTTTATCACTGTTTTCCCGAGAAGTTGCGAAGGAAATATTTTTAAAGTGAACTGTTTAAAATGTTTTTTAAAGTAATTTATAAAGGTTTATTTTGATTTAGTGAAATCTTAAAAAAAACAAATTGGGGAATCTGCTGCAGAGAACACTCCCTTTGCACAACAAGATTGGCTTTCTCTGAATCTAGATAGGAGACTAATCTTACATTGTACTTGAACATGCAGAATTCTATTTTGTCTTCAACATTTAACAGAATCTGTTTCGGAGAACCGTTCCCGTGCATAGCAAAATCGACTTTTTCTGAAGCGAGATATCAATCTATTCAAATAAGTGATCTCGGTACCCTTTATAATGATTATAATGATCCAACCAGCACTTAGCTCGTCTTAAATTTCATTCTGAATTAGTTAAGAACCTATACCTGATTGCAGGATATTTTACCTCAAGAAAAAAATAGACTGAAAACAATTTTGTCCTGCAAAGAAACATTTATTTTAGGGATTGTTATAAAAACAAGATTGCTTTTGGACTTCTAATTCAGTACTCACTTCCACAATAACAGGAATAAAAGGACATGTTAACGGTATGTACCATTTAATGCTATAGATTTTATAACTTTTATTATATTGCACACCTGTACTTTTGCATGCTGCCAAAAACTTACTTTAAGACTGTTTGATCGCAGACAACAGAAAAAGTTTTGACATCCTATCCTATTTATTTATTTTATTTATTCCATTTCTTTACCTAGGGCCAACTT